TCACCTCGAGCATGGGAGGAACGTGGAAGCATGACAGTCGACTCAAAAGTCACCTCGAGCATGGGAGGAACGTGGAAGCATGACAGTCGACTCAAAAGTCACCTCGAGCATGGGAGGAACGTGGAAGCATGACAGTCGACTCAAAAGTCACCTCGAGCATGGGAGGAACGTGGAAGCATGACAGTCGACTCAAAAGTCACCTCGAGCATGGGAGGAACGTGGAAGCATGACAGTCGACTCAAAAGTCACCTCGAGCATGGGAGGAACGTGGAAGCATGACAGTCGACTCAAAAGTCACCTCGAGCATGGGAGGAACGTGGAAGCATGACAGTCGACTCAAAAGTCACCTCGAGCATGGGAGGAACGTGGAAGCATGACAGTCGACTCAAAAGTCACCTCGAGCATGGGAGGAACGTGGAAGCATGACAGTCGACTCAAAAGTCACCTCGAGCATGGGAGGAACGTGGAAGCATGACAGTCGACTCAAAAGTCACCTCGAGCATGGGAGGAACGTGGAAGCATGACAGTCGACTCAAAAGTCACCTCGAGCATGGGAGGAACGTGGAAGCATGACAGTCGACTCAAAAGTCACCTCGAGCATGGGAGGAACGTGGAAGCATGACAGTCGACTCAAAAGTCACCTCGAGCATGGGAGGAACGTGGAAGCATGACAGTCGACTCAAAAGTCACCTCGAGCATGGGAGGAACGTGGAAGCATGACAGTCGACTCAAAAGTCACCTCGAGCATGGGAGGAACGTGGAAGCATGACAGTCGACTCAAAAGTCACCTCGAGCATGGGAGGAACGTGGAAGCATGACAGTCGACTCAAAAGTCACCTCGAGCATGGGAGGAACGTGGAAGCATGACAGTCGACTCAAAAGTCACCTCGAGCATGGGAGGAACGTGGAAGCATGACAGTCGACTCAAAAGTCACCTCGAGCATGGGAGGAACGTGGAAGCATGACAGTCGACTCAAAAGTCACCTCGAGCATGGGAGGAACGTGGAAGCATGACAGTCGACTCAAAAGTCACCTCGAGCATGGGAGGAACGTGGAAGCATGACAGTCGACTCAAAAGTCACCTCGAGCATGGGAGGAACGTGGAAGCATGACAGTCGACTCAAAAGTCACCTCGAGCATGGGAGGAACGTGGAAGCATGACAGTCGACTCAAAAGTCACCTCGAGCATGGGAGGAACGTGGAAGCATGACAGTCGACTCAAAAGTCACCTCGAGCATGGGAGGAACGTGGAAGCATGACAGTCGACTCAAAAGTCACCTCGAGCATGGGAGGAACGTGGAAGCATGACAGTCGACTCAAAAGTCACCTCGAGCATGGGAGGAACGTGGAAGCATGACAGTCGACTCAAAAGTCACCTCGAGCATGGGAGGAACGTGGAAGCATGACAGTCGACTCAAAAGTCACCTCGAGCATGGGAGGAACGTGGAAGCATGACAGTCGACTCAAAAGTCACCTCGAGCATGGGAGGAACGTGGAAGCATGACAGTCGACTCAAAAGTCACCTCGAGCATGGGAGGAACGTGGAAGCATGACAGTCGACTCAAAAGTCACCTCGAGCATGGGAGGAACGTGGAAGCATGACAGTCGACTCAAAAGTCACCTCGAGCATGGGAGGAACGTGGAAGCATGACAGTCGACTCAAAAGTCACCTCGAGCATGGGAGGAACGTGGAAGCATGACAGTCGACTCAAAAGTCACCTCGAGCATGGGAGGAACGTGGAAGCATGACAGTCGACTCAAAAGTCACCTCGAGCATGGGAGGAACGTGGAAGCATGACAGTCGACTCAAAAGTCACCTCGAGCATGGGAGGAACGTGGAAGCATGACAGTCGACTCAAAAGTCACCTCGAGCATGGGAGGAACGTGGAAGCATGACAGTCGACTCAAAAGTCACCTCGAGCATGGGAGGAACGTGGAAGCATGACAGTCGACTCAAAAGTCACCTCGAGCATGGGAGGAACGTGGAAGCATGACAGTCGACTCAAAAGTCACCTCGAGCATGGGAGGAACGTGGAAGCATGACAGTCGACTCAAAAGTCACCTCGAGCATGGGAGGAACGTGGAAGCATGACAGTCGACTCAAAAGTCACCTCGAGCATGGGAGGAACGTGGAAGCATGACAGTCGACTCAAAAGTCACCTCGAGCATGGGAGGAACGTGGAAGCATGACAGTCGACTCAAAAGTCACCTCGAGCATGGGAGGAACGTGGAAGCATGACAGTCGACTCAAAAGTCACCTCGAGCATGGGAGGAACGTGGAAGCATGACAGTCGACTCAAAAGTCACCTCGAGCATGGGAGGAACGTGGAAGCATGACAGTCGACTCAAAAGTCACCTCGAGCATGGGAGGAACGTGGAAGCATGACAGTCGACTCAAAAGTCACCTCGAGCATGGGAGGAACGTGGAAGCATGACAGTCGACTCAAAAGTCACCTCGAGCATGGGAGGAACGTGGAAGCATGACAGTCGACTCAAAAGTCACCTCGAGCATGGGAGGAACGTGGAAGCATGACAGTCGACTCAAAAGTCACCTCGAGCATGGGAGGAACGTGGAAGCATGACAGTCGACTCAAAAGTCACCTCGAGCATGGGAGGAACGTGGAAGCATGACAGTCGACTCAAAAGTCACCTCGAGCATGGGAGGAACGTGGAAGCATGACAGTCGACTCAAAAGTCACCTCGAGCATGGGAGGAACGTGGAAGCATGACAGTCGACTCAAAAGTCACCTCGAGCATGGGAGGAACGTGGAAGCATGACAGTCGACTCAAAAGTCACCTCGAGCATGGGAGGAACGTGGAAGCATGACAGTCGACTCAAAAGTCACCTCGAGCATGGGAGGAACGTGGAAGCATGACAGTCGACTCAAAAGTCACCTCGAGCATGGGAGGAACGTGGAAGCATGACAGTCGACTCAAAAGTCACCTCGAGCATGGGAGGAACGTGGAAGCATGACAGTCGACTCAAAAGTCACCTCGAGCATGGGAGGAACGTGGAAGCATGACAGTCGACTCAAAAGTCACCTCGAGCATGGGAGGAACGTGGAAGCATGACAGTCGACTCAAAAGTCACCTCGAGCATGGGAGGAACGTGGAAGCATGACAGTCGACTCAAAAGTCACCTCGAGCATGGGAGGAACGTGGAAGCATGACAGTCGACTCAAAAGTCACCTCGAGCATGGGAGGAACGTGGAAGCATGACAGTCGACTCAAAAGTCACCTCGAGCATGGGAGGAACGTGGAAGCATGACAGTCGACTCAAAAGTCACCTCGAGCATGGGAGGAACGTGGAAGCATGACAGTCGACTCAAAAGTCACCTCGAGCATGGGAGGAACGTGGAAGCATGACAGTCGACTCAAAAGTCACCTCGAGCATGGGAGGAACGTGGAAGCATGACAGTCGACTCAAAAGTCACCTCGAGCATGGGAGGAACGTGGAAGCATGACAGTCGACTCAAAAGTCACCTCGAGCATGGGAGGAACGTGGAAGCATGACAGTCGACTCAAAAGTCACCTCGAGCATGGGAGGAACGTGGAAGCATGACAGTCGACTCAAAAGTCACCTCGAGCATGGGAGGAACGTGGAAGCATGACAGTCGACTCAAAAGTCACCTCGAGCATGGGAGGAACGTGGAAGCATGACAGTCGACTCAAAAGTCACCTCGAGCATGGGAGGAACGTGGAAGCATGACAGTCGACTCAAAAGTCACCTCGAGCATGGGAGGAACGTGGAAGCATGACAGTCGACTCAAAAGTCACCTCGAGCATGGGAGGAACGTGGAAGCATGACAGTCGACTCAAAAGTCACCTCGAGCATGGGAGGAACGTGGAAGCATGACAGTCGACTCAAAAGTCACCTCGAGCATGGGAGGAACGTGGAAGCATGACAGTCGACTCAAAAGTCACCTCGAGCATGGGAGGAACGTGGAAGCATGACAGTCGACTCAAAAGTCACCTCGAGCATGTGAGGAACGTGGAAGCATGACAGTCGACTCAAAAGTCACCTCGAGCATGGGAGGAACGTGGAAGCATGACAGTCGACTCAAAAGTCACCTCGAGCATGGGAGGAACGTGGAAGCATGACAGTCGACTCAAAAGTCACCTCGAGCATGGGAGGAACGTGGAAGCATGACAGTCGACTCAAAAGTCACCTCGAGCATGGGAGGAACGTGGAAGCATGACAGTCGACTCAAAAGTCACCTCGAGCATGGGAGGAACGTGGAAGCATGACAGTCGACTCAAAAGTCACCTCGAGCATGGGAGGAACGTGGAAGCATGACAGTCGACTCAAAAGTCACCTCGAGCATGGGAGGAACGTGGAAGCATGACAGTCGACTCAAAAGTCACCTCGAGCATGGGAGGAACGTGGAAGCATGACAGTCGACTCAAAAGTCACCTCGAGCATGGGAGGAACGTGGAAGCATGACAGTCGACTCAAAAGTCACCTCGAGCATGGGAGGAACGTGGAAGCATGACAGTCGACTCAAAAGTCACCTCGAGCATGGGAGGAACGTGGAAGCATGACAGTCGACTCAAAAGTCACCTCGAGCATGGGAGGAACGTGGAAGCATGACAGTCGACTCAAAAGTCACCTCGAGCATGGGAGGAACGTGGAAGCATGACAGTCGACTCAAAAGTCACCTCGAGCATGGGAGGAACGTGGAAGCATGACAGTCGACTCAAAAGTCACCTCGAGCATGGGAGGAACGTGGAAGCATGACAGTCGACTCAAAAGTCACCTCGAGCATGGGAGGAACGTGGAAGCATGACAGTCGACTCAAAAGTCACCTCGAGCATGGGAGTCGACTCAAAAGAACCTCCTTTTGAGGCGCCTCAAAGATCATTCACATGCCAGCCACTCGGCCTTCCGAGAATCGCATGTGATGAACTTCCAGAACTGCACGCACGGCTTGCTTGTCATTCTCGTATGTCATTCCCAGCGACACATTGACCCCGCTATTGAGAGGTCTCAAAACACTCACATGCCACTGAATCGGCCTTCCGAATCGCATGTGATGAACTTCCAGAACTGCACGCACGGCTTGGTTGTCTCGTATGTCATTCCCACCGTTACGTTGAGCCAGTTGCCGTACGAGGCTAATACTGGATGGTTTCCCAAGGCCGCTGCGAACGCCAGCAGTGCAGCCTCTGCGCGACGCCAGGGGTGCTGCCTCTGCGCAATGGGAAGGGACGATTGTTCATGCCGGGGGCTGAAAGAAGTTTTGAGTTGACTCAGGGCCCGTACACAGCGATTATTGGATGGTTTCCGTTGGCTGCTGCGAACGCCAGCACTGTAGCCTCTGCTCGTGGGACGGGACGATTAAACATGCCGCCATGATTGGATGGGTGTGGGTTGGATAGGATCGGGAAAGGCGGAGGGTCAAATGAGTTGTTGGAGTCAGTTTTTCCGAGAGAGATGTGGGTGGAGGAGGGATGTGATCGAAAGGAAGGACGAGTAAAAGGGAGATATGAAAAGGAGAAATGTGAGTGAAAGAGAGGTGTGAGGATCTCAGAATCTGGTCAGACCTCAAGTTAACTGTGTAAAAACAAAGTGGCACTTTGAAAGGTGACCCGAATGGCTTCAAGAAAGTTCTGCTTACTTTCAGCCATGGCGATTTTCTGGGGGGTGCCGAACCCAGGGATGGGATCGACAACATCTCCTTGCGCCTCACATCCAGGCATCAGCCCTGCTTGCCGCATGAGCAGTACTAGCAACAGCAACAGCCTGAGGGGCGTCAGCGCGTCCTTCGCGAGTGGCGGAGCCGGCGAGTGCGCCGAAGTGCGGCGTCGCAGCGCCATGATGACGAGCCGCTGGATCTGTTGAGGCTGAGTGTTTCGGACTCCTGACACGCGGCGCGCAGCGAGGAAGTGCGGCAGACGAGGAAGTGAGGCTCATCTTGCGGCGTAACTGCGGGGAGCGGCTTGCGGATTTGACGAGTCTTAAAGTTGAGACTTCTACTTGCCTGTGACACCACAGGACGACTTATACTAGCTACTAGGCTTTGTACTCATCGAGATCAAAAGATGAGATCGAAGTGCCGACGTTGGGAAGAAACTCTGTGGTGGTAAACGCTCGAGAGAAGATGAGAATCGAGACGGCAAACGTTGGATAGGGATGCGAATGTGTGGTGGTACATATTCGTGAGATGAGAGTGAGACGGCGGCGCTGTTGAGTGGTTTGGGAAGAAACAATTATTGTATCCATATTCTCGCCGTGAGCGGACTGAAAGCGGCGCGTCGAGCGTGGATTGAAAATTGAGTAACGGCAGTTTCGTAGTAGCTTCTTGCATCGGGTGTTTTACGAGATTGAAAGGGGACACCCTCTGACAAAATCGTCGCAACCTGATCCGTGGGGCGGAGACGAAAGCGGCCCGGAGAGGGGGAAACGGGTCACTGCCAGAGGAGTTTTGTGGGGTGAAGGGATAATCGAAAGGTCCTGCCAGGCGCGGTGACGGTGAGCACAATGAGTTTCGCGCACGACACTTGGGGTCGAACTCACAGGGGGACAGGGGGAGAGAGAGCTGTCAAAGGTGATTTCGCGCAAATCGACTATTTTGCTAGCAATAACAATCGACCTAAATTGACTGGGGAGGGGGGATTGTGGGATTTTTATCAGAGGACGGTCAGCAAGGTGTAAAGACGGCACCGATGACGTGTATAAAACATAAGCAACACGTGCCTCCGGCGTTATCCAAATTCTTACATAAGGAGTGATCCACAAAAATCATTGTCTGCACGTCTATTCCTGTTGCATATACCGTGTGTATTAACTTGTACACACACATGGGTACCATATAACCAGAACACACATTTATAAGAATCTACCTCAATCAAAGACACCCCTATCTTCAATTCGAGACTACTTTATGTCCGCGGCCCGGGCGACGACGGTAGTATCCTTTGGAACTCCGGAACCACTCTGCATGGCTTGCCACAAAGAGTGTCAAGTGGTGCACAAAACTATCCAGGTGACAGTGTAGCCAGTAAAGAGAATAAGACCAACAGCTAAGTCTATCTTGACCGCAAGCCGGTAGTTCCCTCCTTGGCTCTGTCGGGGTTGGATTGCCTCACATGGTAGCCAAACAACCGGAATCTCTGCCAACACAAGGCACCAATCAGATTTGAGGGAGACGAGATGAGGTTAGATGTTACAGGAGCGCAGGGAAAATGAACAAAATACCAAAAAATGCAGCAGCCTAGTCGTACATACCAGCAGCCCCGGGACGTTCTTCTTCTGCTTCTCCTCAGCCGCATCAGCCCTACTCTTTGCTGCAGCTTCAGCAATGGCTTCAGGGTCGTCGCTGTCGCCCATGAGCTTCTCGCCCGCTGCCTTGTCGGCAGGCGAGCGGCGCTTGAAAGAGAGGGCGGGCGGCAGCGAGTCGTTCACGAGCTCCTGCACGTTCTTCTCGATGCGCTCGGCGATGCAGAAGGCGACGAGGGTCTCCATGGTGCACAGCCAGATGACCACGTAGGACGTGATCATCAGATACCCAAAGTTGGTTATCGCTGACGTGCGCGGCAGCTGCATGCATGCAGACAGGGGAGGGGCGGGGAAGGGGGGTGAGGGGGATGGGTGGGGGGGGGGAGGAGGGACGGAGGGGCTTAGGGGAGGTTTGCTGTGACAGTGTGTTGGATGAGCTTGGAAGCAGGGGTTTTTAAAGGGGGGCTGAGGCCAGAGCAGGAGGGAGAAGGGTGAAGGAGAACGTTGTGGAGATTGGGATTAAGGGAGAGAAGGGTATTGGAAGGAGCGAGCACTGGTGCCAGGCTGCTGAGGCAAGGTGGGAAGAGATTGATAGCAGAACAGAAGAAGGTTGTGGGGGAGGGGACAGGGGAAGCTTGAACGAATTGACTGGCAGGCGGTGATTTTGAGAAAGGGGAAGGGAGGGTGCGTAAGGGGCGTGACCTGGCTGTCAACGACGAACCTGGCTGTCAAAGCCGAACCAGGCTGTCAGTGCCGAACCTGGCTGTCAAAGCCGAACCTGGCTGTCAATGCCGAACCTGGCTGTCACAGCGGAACCTGGCTGTCAATGCCGAACCTGGCTGTCAATGACGAACCTGGCTGTCAATGACGAACCTGGCTGTCAAAGCCGGACCTGGCTGTCAGTGCCGAACCTGGCTGTCAATGCCGAACCTGGCTGTCAATGCCGAACCTGGCTGTCAATGCCGAACCTCGCTGTCCATGACGAACCTGGCTGTCAATGCCGAACCTGGCTGTCAATGACGAACCTGGCTGTCAATGACGAACCTGGCTGTCAATGCCGAACCTGGCTGTCAATGCCGAACCTGGCTGTCAATGCCGAACCTGGCTGTCAATGCCGAACCTGGCTGTCAATGCCGAACCTGGCTGTCAATGACAAATTGGATGGCGACGAGGGCGAGGAAGAGCGTGAGGCACGCCCCCAATCGAATCTCGAGATCCTCTGGCTTTGCTATGAAGGCCGTGAATGTGAGATAGACGCTCAGGATGACCGGCAGCAGTATCTGGTTTGGCAAGCGAGAGGAGAGAGAGTAGAGAGGAGAGGGAATAGCGAGGAGAAGACAGAGGAGTGTGAGGAGGGGAGAGAAGAGGAGAGTGGAGAGAGGGGCGACAAAGGAGAGAGAAGCGAGAGAGGAGAGAGAGGATAAAGTGGAGATAGAGGAGAGAGAGGAGAAAGGAGAGAGAGAGAAGTGAGAGGAGAAGAGAGAGGGGCGAGAAAGAAAACGGGTGGGGGTTAAGAGAGGAGAGAGTGGAGAGAGAGGAGAAAGGAGAGAGGAAATAGGAGGAGGAGGAGGAGGAGGAGGAGGAGGAGGAGGAGGAGGAGGAGGAGGAGGAGGAGGAGGAGGAGGAGGAGGAGGAGGAGGAGGAGGGAAGGGGTTGGGGTGGGGGTTGGGGGAGAGAGATTGCGAAGACAGGTTATGAGGCAGAAACGAGGGGGAGGATTCGGCGACAGAGGAGTGAGATGACGGTTTGGATACTGAATGTATGGATTGCACACTGACGTGAGGAGGAGTGAAGCAGGGCGCAGGAAGACAAGAATGGGGGCGTACAGCAATGACATAGACGGCGCTGGTGCGTTGGATGTGGATGGTGAAGATGCACGTGGCGCTCTGGTTGCTCGCTGCCCCATCGCTGCTGCCCCCGCTGTCCGGTATGGCGTTCCACGGGTCCTCTGCGGGCGAGGACACGCAGCAGCAAGCAGCAGGCAGCAGGCAGCAGGCAGGCGCATGTGGGAGGCAGGGGTACAGGGAGAGGTGAGTGGAGGGCAGAAGGATGGTTGAGAACAGTGGGAGGGTGGGAGCAGAGGAGGAACAGCAAGTGCGCTCAGCATGTTATGATGCCTTGAACAGCTTGGCTACACACATACATGCGTACACCCATTTAAACGCCCACACACCCACCACACCCACTCATACACCCACACACCCACTCCCACACCCACATGTATACCCACTAGCTCACTATCTCATCAACACGCACACCCCAACGCTCCCACACACACACACACACACACACACGCGTGCACTCAGGGGGGTGGCAAGTAGCGGAGGTGGTTACCAGGAGCGTAGGAGGCGGAGCTGCTGACGGTGGTGTCAGCAGGAGTGCAGTCGAGCGCCACACTGACAATCTTCCAGCCCGTGACCTCATCATTCACGTACGTGCCTCCCCCTCCCCCCAGCTGCCCGCCCCCCTGCTCCGACTGCCGTCCTGAATTGCTCCCCACCAGATAGAACTCGCCACTGCCCTCCACTGATACCACCAACCGCAGGACCTGGGGGGGGGTTGGGGGGACAAGCGGGGTGGGGAGACACAAGGAAGAGGAGGAAAGGCGGGGAAGCGAAAGGAGAAGATGTGTAATACAGTAGGTAGGATCGGAGGGAGGGAGGGAGGGCGACTGCGCAGATAAATCGACCCCCATGGGTGCAACGCTCGTGGATGGTGCGGACGTTTATACTTGATGCCTATGGATGGAGTACGACAGTGGAGTGTTGCGAGAAGCTGTGGAGAGTTGCCTACCTGGGAGTCAAAGGGGAACCTCTGAAAGGCAAAGGGCGAGGAGAAGGTTCCTGTGATGGGACGAGGGGGAGAGAGCGAGATGGGGAGGGAGAGGGATGGACGGATGGGGAGAGAGAGTGAGGATGGGAGGGAGCAAGGTGCTTTGGAGGTGTTTGAAGGAATACGTCAGCCTTTCAAAGGCAGAGCGGCCATTGGTGGGCAAAAGGGGCAGGCGCAGAGGAGAGCAGAGCAGAGAGCGCGACAGCAGAGCGAGGGAGAAAGGAAGAGCATGTGGGTGGGTGGCAGCAGAGCACGTGAGACAATGCCGTACCCTCAACGATGGACTCTCTGTCGACGGCACTGGCATCGGTGCTGTAATCGCCAAAGAAGAATATGCTCTCTGCACGCACACGCACGAACACACAAAGGAAAGGTAGAGTGGCAGAGATAGGTCTGACGTGCCATACATCATGCTTCCTTACGAGCACCTGCCATGGCGTAGGGTGGCCTGGCGTGGCGTGGCGTGGCATGAAATGAAATGGAATGGCATGGCATGGCATGGCATGGCGTGTGTGGGCTCAGAGTAAGCCCTACACGTTGGGGAAAGGCACGAGTTACAAGAGAGAGGAGGTGGGGCTGGCTGACCAGTTTGGTAGCGGTCCTGCGGGTAGAGGACGACGTTGGGGATGGTGAGCGAGGGGATCCAGAGGGCGTCGCAGCACGTGATGCCCGCAGGAGTGCACCTCTTGCTGCACCCGTCCATCTGCGGCAGGTTGTTCTGTACTCCGGCAAGCACACGGGGGGTGGAACGAAATTGGTGGTGAATGGTGGTGGTGGGAGATTGAAGCACCGAGCAGGTAGGTGCATCTCCCTTGCCTTGCGCCCCCCACAATCTCATCCACACACCCCCCATTCCTTCAAAAACCCCCTGGCGCGGCGTTTAGGGTGGCGACCTGCTTGGTGTTTTTGAGGCACTCGTCCTTCTGGCTGATGTTGAACCCTGAGAACGTCACGTTGGGCTTGCAGTCCTCCGTAGCCTTCCACGTCAGCGCTGGCCCCATCGCCGATAGCACCTTGTTCATCGCCACCGTGTCGTTCACTGCCATGCCACGCCATGCCACGTCATGCCACGTCATGCCATGCCACAGTCAAGCCATGCCATGTCACGCCAAGCCAGGCCGTGAGAAGAACGCGGAATGCACCACGATGAGACGCAACGGTCAGTGCGCACGTGCGCTTGGGTGCACTTAATGCAGTTAAGATTTGCGAGGGAGGAAGGGGAGGTAGGTGTGGTTTCCAAAGCTGGCAAAAGGAGGTAGAAATTGTGAAAAAAGACTTGGAGAACTGAGTTGAAGGACTTGAAAACTCGCAGCACACATGGCATGTCATGACATCCACGACACGGCACTAGTATGGCACAAGCACGGCACGGCAGGGGATGGCGGCGAGTACGAGGGGGGAGACGTACTAGCAGCACGCAACGCACCTCGCGGGTCGCGCCAGGTGGTGACGATGGAGAAGTAGGCGCTGTAGCTGTACTGGATTTCTGCCCGCCGCAATGCGCGCCCGCAGGGGGGTTGGAAAGGGAGAGGGGAGGGGGGGGGGGGATGGGGAGAGAAGAAAGTCGTGCGATTGGAGAAAATGTCAAGATTGAAGGCCGTGCGATTGTCTCCCAAAAGCGATTTTTCGGCGAAGACTGGTTATTGAACGAGCCACTCGCGTAGGCCAACATTTGAGCAGAAGGGGACGAACGGGGGCGTGCAAGGAGCGGTGCTATGCCGCACGCTCGTAGGTACCGATGACAGCGAATGGGCGACGGGGGAAGGGGAGGAGAGGTGGGGGGAGAGAGGGAGGGGAGGGGGGAGGGGAGGGGGGAAGGGGGGGGAGTGGAATCGGAAACGGGGGAACGGGGGTCTGCGGAAACGCGGGGACGACGCAGCCTGAGGTCGTACTACTAGCGCGCGTACCGTCAACGGCGACGAGCTTCTTGAGGAGCACGGAGAGGTAGACGGGTGGCTTGTCGTTTACCAGCCCCGCCGAGTACGGGTCGGTGCCCTGCCCCACCAGCGGACACTCATTCTGCGCCAGCGCCCCGCGCACTCCGCCTCCGCCGGCTCCGCCGCGGCGCTCATTCGCCGGCGCCAGGAGTGCGAGTAGCAGCAGCAACAGCTGAATCACCGCGGCACGGGGAGTCGGCATCGATAACGTATGGATGGGGACGGCAGAGGAGCCCATGCTAGTACTAGAATCGCGATTACTTGAGTATACTCTGGTAACAATCAAGCATGATAGAGACAGTCACCGCGGATATCTCGGATTAGGAAGAGTAACGAGCAAGGGGGTCTGCGGAAAGCCGTGGTTTGCTTCAGAAACCAGAGCCGCTGCTGGGTTAGCAGGAAGATGCGAGTGTGTGTCGAGTGTGTGGTGGTCCTGCGAGCCGCCAGCAAGAACCGTGTCGCGTGAGGGCTTCATGGTGAAGCCAGGCTGGCTTCGGTGTGGATTGTCAAGGTCCCAGGCTTGGCTCTGGTTCGGCATGAGGTGTAAGGGAATGAATGGCATATGCTCTAACCGCCTCCGCCACCCCTTTTCACACGCGCTTCGGATTCCACCAGAAACCTTGGGGGACGTTTAGTCTAGGAGTCCGAGGTAGTGTGGTCACAAGGTGTCCATTCTCATTCATGTCTACCTCAAAGTTTAAAAGGGTATTTCTTGAATGTATCCAAAAATATGTGTGTGTATGTTTGTCTGGACCGTAGTAAAAAGTTGTTAATCACGCTAAACCAACGAAAAATGCATTATCAATACGAATTTATACTATGTTATCAAGATTTACTTTTATGTGCAAACGAAAAGTTGAAGCTGACCAGCGGCTGCCGACTTTTGAGGCAAACCGTGTTCTGCGCAGCCATGTGTTCCTTATCCTCTTCACCCACCTCTTTCCCTTGGGAACAGTTCTTGGAAGCCAAGCCCTTCGAGTCGCTGGTGCCGTCTATTCCCCTGCCCGTGGGAGCGGGTCCAAATTCGGGGAATGATATTCTGTCTTGATATCATCAGTGTGCAGAGTGACATGTATCCCTTACGTGCGGGAGAAATTCGAGCTGCGTACGTTCAATACGAGCGTCAACGAGTTATTACATTTCGCCTACGCTTGTCGCGAATGCAAAAGTGCCCAGACTTGCGATGACTTCTAAGTTCTGGGCCCAGAGCAAGCGTCTGTCCTGCCCGCCGCCCTTATCCTGTTGGTGGCGCGGTGCGCACTCCTCATCCTCACCACCAGCGGCTCCAATGTACTCCCGGTACTCTAGAGACTCTTCTTCACATCCATCCATTTTCACACACCCTTCGTTGCACAAGCAGGGGGAAACGTTCGCGCGGCTGTCATTGTTCGCAAAGTTTGCGTCTCAGCATTTCTCGCTGGCCCGAGAGGAAAGTCAGTCGTTCACCGCGCATTCTGTAAACTTGTTTTGATCTCTTGACTCATACTGGGTCGGACGGACGGTTTCAATGGCGGCTCGTATCGCTAACCCGAGGGATGCTCATTCGTCCCTGCTGCTGCTCGCAATCATGCTGCTCGCGTGGACCGCGAATTTCGGCTCCAATCACGGAGGCGTTCAGCTAGCGGCGGCGTAGACGGACTGCCCGCTGATTGGTCAGGGCATCGACCCGTACACGGCGGGGATCGTGTCGGAGAAGCCCAAAGTGTTTCTCTCCGTGCAGCTCAAGAAACTCGTCACCGTCGACGGTGAGCCACGACAGTACCCGCATGAATGAATGCGCTGCTCGCAATTGGACAACGCATAGCGTGCGCGCGGTCATCCAATCCTTTCTTCCACCCCTACACGTGCAAGGGGTCATTACACAACTGCTGTGTGACACACAACCACCCACACACGACCATCCCGTCCCTCCCTCCATGTACTTCCTCACCCTCTTTCCCCCCCTCCCCCCCCCTACAGCCGTCAAGTACAGCTACATGGCGTACTTCCAAGTCATCTCCACGTGGCGCGACCCTCGAGGTGCGTTTCGCCCTCCGCTCTTCTGCTGCTGCTTGTCTCGCGCCGCACAACGTCCCATGTTCCGCCGTTCACATCCGTGCCGCCACGTCAGTTTGTCGTCCTTCTCTCGTGTGTGCTCGTCGCACCAGCACCGTGTTCTGACCACGCAACACGCAGTATGCAGCACGCGATTGGAAATGACTCTCATTGGCCCCCTCTGCCTCTGCCTCTCTCTCTGCCCGTGCGTGCGTGCGTGCGTGCATGCGGACACCAGTGAACGACACGCTGGCGATAAACAACGCGATGAACGCGTTCGGGCCGGCCATCACGGGGCTGGCGACGGCCAAATGCAAGCCGGACGTGACGTTTTCGGGGTTCAACATCAGCCAGAAGGACGAGTGCCTCAAGACGCCCAAGCAGAACAACCTGCCGCAGATGGACGGCTGCAGCAAGCCGTGCTCGCCGTCCGGCACCACTTGCTGCGACGCCCTCTGGATCCCCTCGCTCACCATCGACAACGTCCTCTTCTACCCCCAGGACCGCTTCCAAACCGGTAACTTCCGTTTGTAAACGCAAGATCGCTTCCACACTGGTGACCGTCCCCGCTCCCGACCTCCCGAGCTGCCTGGCCCTCTCTCTTGCAAGCATGCATGCATGTCTGCTGATCACCCAGGCGGCCTTAACGTCCCATCCTTGTGAAATCTCCTTTCTTCCGGCCTTCCTCCTCGCGCCCTTCCTGCTTCTTCCTCCCAAGCCTTTCTCCCACCCCATCATCTCTCTCTCCCTCTCCCTCTCCCTCTCCCTGTCCCTCTCCCTCTCCCTCTCCCTCTCCCTCTCCCCCTCCCTCTCCCCCCTCCCTCCCGCCATCCCTTCACTGCGCAACGAGCAGAGAGCATATACTTCTTCGGGCAGTACAGCAACGAGGCCAGCGCGATCGACAGAGAAGTCGTCGTTGGAGGTGCTCCTCTCGTCCTTGCCCTCCACTCCCTCCACTCCCTCCTCTCTCGCTTCTCCCCTCCTCTCCCTCCTCTCTCTCCACTCACCTCCTCTCCCTCCTCTCCCTTCCTCTCTCTTCACCCCCCTCCTTTCCCTCCACTTTCTCCTTTCCTACCTCTCCCCTCTGCTTCCTCCTCTCCCCTTTCCTCCCACTCCCCTTTTCTCCTCCTTCCTCTACCCTTCGTTCCTCCCTTCAATTCCCGTCGCTTCTCTATGCACCCCTTCCATGGCTTTGGTTCTCTCTCCGTCTTCGTCCTTTCATTGGCCAAGCTTGCTCTCACTCTTCCTCGCACGGCGGCAACCATCATCAGCAGCACTGCGTGAAGTCATGAAACCGATGAGCTCTGTGCGTCTCGTAAGTGCCCTCACACACACAAACACATGTGTGTGTGTTTGTGTGTGTGTGTGTGTGTGTGTGTGTGTGTGTGCGTGCGTGCGTGCGTGCGTGCGTGCGTGCGTGCATGTGTGGGTGTGTGTGCGTGTGTGTGCGCGTGTGTGTGCGTGTGTGTGCGTGTGTGTGCGTGTGTGTGTGCGTGTGTGTGCGTGTGTGTGCGTGTATGTGCCCTTGCTTGTCGATGTGCGTGTGTGTGTGTGCAACAGGCGAGTTCTCGTCACCCCTCAGCTTTAAGAAGTTTCCTCTTGACTCTCAGGTACGTCTCCCACTATATCTATATGCTCTTGTCCCGCACTCGTGACTCGCTCTCTCACTGCCTCCTCTTTGACCAGTCCTATGCACATACATCTGCCCACACGCACGCACGCACGCACGCACACACACACGTCCCCTCCCCTACCTCTAATTCCGCCCCTGCCTCTGCCCCTCACGCATGGCACGCACGGCAGACGCTGCGGCTGAGCATTCAGGTGGAGAGCGGCGAGTTCTACCTGGTGGGGAGCAACTCAGGGCGGCAGTCGGAGCAGGGCGGTGGGAACCTTGGGGGAGGGGGAGGCACGTACGTGAATGATGAGGTCACGGGCTGGAAGATTAATGATGTGGCTCTCAACTGCACTCCCGCCCAAACCACCGTCTCCACCTCCGCCACCTACCATCCTGGTAACCACCTCTACCCTTCCCGCCACTTAATCCTCCTGGTAACCACTGCCACTTATGATCATTATCACCACTTAAAGTATCTGTTTCTTAAACTTAAATAACCAGATGTATGTCCTGTGCCATGCGTGTTGCCATGCCATGCGTGTTGCCATGCCGTGTGTGTTGCCATGCCATGCGTGTTGCCATGCCATTCGTGTTGCCATGCATGCTGCCATGTGTGCTTCTATGTACGTGGGGCTGTTCAGATGACCCCTGGTACACGTTCAATCAGAACTCACCGTCTGACAGCGGCAGCAGCAGCAGCAGCGTCAACGAGTCCACCTCGTGTGTGTTCACCATCAAAATCTCCCGCACCAGTGGCGTCTTCATCATCTCGGTATGCCGCCCTCGCCCCACGCCACTCACTCCCCGATTCCTTCCTTGTCACCATCACCACCTGCGTCGTTGCCATCCATCGTCGTTCCACTCCTTCTCCTCCCCTCCTCATGCTCCTCCCATCCTTTCCCCTTGCATGTCTGGCATCTTCGAATATTCGTCCCTTGCACGTGTTAAAGCGACGGTGCACATTTGCCACCCAAAACCCAGAACCCTGGCGAACTGTTACTGCGGATGGAAAGTGTCCGCACGAAATCCTGGTTTTCGCCAGCCAGCACTTTCGCGCTGGCAAGCCTGGTTCAAAAAAAAAACTTCTGAACCCAACACTGCCAAAAGTTGCCCGTCGCTTTAACCCCCCTCCCGTCCCTGTCAGATTGTGGTGCCAGTGATGCTGAGCGTGTATCTCTGCTTCTCCGTGTTCTTTGCTAAACCTGACGACCTGGAGACTCGATCCGCCACCTTTGTCACGCTCTTCCTCGCCCTCGCCGCGGTGCAGTTCGTCATCGACAGCCAGGTCTGTGCCTGCCTGCCTGCCTGGTTTGCTAGCTGGTTGGTTAGCTGGCTGGCTGGCTCGGTGGGTGGGTGCGTGGGTGGGTGCGTGGGTGGGTGGGTGGCTGGTGGTTGGGTGGGTGAGTGGGAGAGTGGTTGGGTGGTTAGGGGCTGCGTGGGTTCATGGGGCGGGTGATTGGGTCTGGCCTTGCATCGCCATAGTTTCATTCTGCAGCTGGCACCATGAGCACTGTACCACTGTCTTCACTCACTCCAGTCTCACAGGGTGAGCACTTTGCATGCTTCACATGGTGCGTAACAAACAACACCTCACCACCAGCAATCCCCAAGCCAGCAAGCCCTCTCGTCCTCCCTTCACCGCATTCCGGTCATTTAGTCGCCTCAATATCATCGTTTTCTAGCCCATTAAAAAACTTCATCTTCTTCCTCCTTCCTTCATTCCCTTCCTTCGCTCCTCCCATCATCGCTCCGTTTTCCCTTTCTGCTCTCCCCCACCCCCACCCCCAACCCCCCATGCAGCTACCGCGCTCATCAGTGATGACGCAGTTTGGCTATCTGGTCATCATCTCATACGTCTTCATCGGTCTCACCGCCGTGGAAACACTCATCGTCTACCTCATCGCCGAACGGGTCAGTCACCCCTGCCCTGTTTTTTTTCTTTCTTTCTTTCCTTTTTTTCTTGAAGGATGCGAATGCAATACATCGTATAATCTACACATCCACTGTCATGACTGATAATCAACCTGCTCTCTGCTGCCAGCCTCCTGCATGACAGCTTGGCACGAGAGCAAGGCACAGCCACGCGCATACCCCACCTCGCCGTTTCCCCAGCCAGCCGGCCTGCCTCCTTCGCCTTTTGTTGTGTCGTTTGACGACTTCCCATGCGTGCTCTATCTTGAGATTCGTCATTGCATTTCCTTACTGTGTGCCCCTGTGTACTGCTTCGTGCGTACCACTCTGTGCCGCTGTGTACCGCTGTGTGCAGCTGGAGAAGGACGTGGCGGAGACAGTGGGGGACATGGCGGCAGCGGCCAAGCGCTCCACGCAGAAATCCCGTGCAGAGCCAGAGCCAGAGCCAGAGCCAGAGCCAGAGCCAGAGCCAGAGCCAGAGCCAGAGCCAGAGCCAGAGCCAGAGCCAGAGCCAGAGCCAGAGCCAGAGCCAGAGCCAGAGCCCGAGCCCGAGAGCCCACAGAAGGTGGTGAAAACGTGCGCATTTGGCTCCGGCAAGGCGCACGGCGCAGGGGAGGAGGGCCAGGAGCTGTGTCCGGCAGTGACAGAGGAGGACGACGAGGAGATGGGAGAGGGTAAGGGTGCAGCTGGCAGTGGAGGAGTGGGAGTTCATGCCGCCTGCCTGAACCCTGGAAAGCCAACTCTGCAGAATACCGGGCCATCATTTGGTGAGTGGGTGTGCGCGTGTGTGTGTGTGTGTGTGTGCTGTAGGTGGGTTAGTGACTTTGGGAGAAGTGCTTGCTTGATGGGTCTTCTGTTTCGGTGCGTGGACTTTTGAGCTGCAATATGCTTCCATGGGGTGTGCGCACTTGGTGTGCCCACTTGTGAGTTGTGTGTTCAGTCGTGCCGTCTGTCGAGCATATTTTGTCAATCACACTCTCAGCATGATACTTGTTTTGTTCCTGTGTTTGTCCTGCTACGGTACTATCATATGCAGAAGCTGAGCCTCTTTGGATACCACCTCAAACCCGCCGACGAGGAGCATGCGGGCGAAGGCAATTATATTCTGGCAACTAGAATTGACTTCGTGTGCTCTGTTCTCTTCTTCACTGGCTACACTCTCACTGCCATTCTTCTCTACACTCTTTAGATGCGCATTCAGCTGGCTGCTACCGGTAGTTTACTACGGTATATGATTGTGTTTTGTCATTTGACATGTAGCAGAAAAGCTCTCAGCTAATGCTGATGTTTTAACCAAAATGCAACAACCAATTTGGATTGATCAGTGTTATTGGCAAGTATAAATGATTGGGGTTTTGAATGTGTGATGGGTTTCGTTAGTCATGCATGACGGAAGAGCAATGCTTTTATGGATTGTGCTACTCAGGTGCCACAATAGTAGTACCACAAGTAGGACCCCACGGCAGGGGGCCCTTGATGCTCCACTTTGTGAACTTGGAGCAGAAGGGCAAAGCGCATGGAGCAACGCTACATCTGGCTGCAGCAGATGATGAAGCGCAAGAAGATCGTGCTGTTGAAGAACATATATTGTTATGTTTTCTTATAAACTGCCAACAGCTCTAACAGTAGTGTAGTGTAGCTTCTTGTGGGTGGTGGTGCACCTTTGTGCCCACCCTTCCTCCTACTTGTACCCTTGTTCCTAATTATCCAACCCTCTTTGGCCAACTTATCCATCCTCTCGCTATGTTTCTCCTTAGCTTCTCAAACCTTAAGTCCTAGCTACTAAGTACTATTTTGACACGTGCTGCAACTGCAATACATTCCGACCACCGAGGCAGCCGACCAACTTCCTCACGAAGGCACTGCACTTGTGCTCCGTCGCGATCGGCCTGTCAGAATCCCAGCCACTAACCACCGGGATGAAATGGCTTGCTTGTGTAGCGGGTGAGTGCGACCATAACCCCCAAGGCCAACGTGCCTGTAACCGTTCTCTAAGATCAATTGAAGATTTCCAGTGCACCTTTGACACGACCAAGTGCGTCTGGCCGACGTCGGCGACGGTAACGACGACATTCGGCAGCAGGCATCATGCCCTTTCACATGGCTGGTGCGATGACCGGCGTTTTGTGCGTAGTGTGCACGCCGACGGCTTACCCTTCGTATTCTGTTCCTTGGGTTCTGGATGGACCTCGTGTGTGAGTGCCCAAGCGTGAGCTGGGCAGGGGAGTGTTGGCAGGAATGTGGCCTCGCGCTCGCTTCGGCGAAACCAACTTCGTAGTCGAGTGCGAGGGAGGTGTAGCGAGCCGCTGTCAGTGGTCGACGCCGACTTGGGAGAGAAAGTGAACAGACTTGGTCGACTTCCGCAACACCACTATGAAGCCGCCGACGAGGTAAAGTCGGCGGCCAACTTCGACTCGGGCGGCCGACGAAGACGTTTGTTAAATTGAGGGCGCCGACCTGAGGGCGCTGGGGACATTATCTGGTCGACGTGGTTTCCGATCCGACGAAGTTCTGTGGGGGTTCGCAAACATCGCCCATGAGATTTTGTCGAAGTCGACTTGCAACCTAAATCCCGAGGTCGGCGTGACACATCTTGCGCAACCGTAGGCACGTGGCCGAATTGGCACATCGCAATGTGCGTGACGGTGCATAACGTGTTCAACCGTCTGCATGCACCTAGGAAGTAGGCGCAAGGACACATGTGGTTGCAACGCTGCAGCCACCTTGCTGCTTTGCGCTGGTGCGCTGCTGGCAGTTGCAGACTTGCAGCGTTGGCAAGCCGCCTTCACGCTACGTTGGCACGCCATCAACCTGTCGTGCTCGCAAGCGGCCCCCATGTTGCGCTGAAGGCCGACCTCCCGAGTGCTGGATTGCTAGGCTTCTGATGTAGTCATTGTTGCTACTACCTTTTGCATTATTGTGTTGAGTAAAGCTACGATCACTTGTACCGTTCGTACCTTCCCATGAAGTTCAGCTACCCTGGTGTTGAGTGACTCTCCGCGAACCCATCGCCAACCTGCCGAAGTCGGGTTCTACGTCGGACACTGGCGATGAGGGGAGCATTGGTGCGACGCCTCCGGCGCCGTCAAGTGGCATTGTCGGCGGCCGACTTGACGTGGTTGGCGTCAAACAAGTCGACGATGAAGGAAAGCTACCGACTTCAGAGGAGCCGATGATAGGGGAGCAGGTGGCAGGGAAGCCAACTTTGGGGGAGCAGTCGGTAGAGGAGCCGACGGCATGGGAGCCGCTCGACGACGGTTCGTTGAACGATGTTGTGGAAGTCGTCGGTGAATTCGGGGATGATGAAGGGCAGTTGTCGACGGGGGAGCATTTCAGCGACAGAGCCATATTGAAAGTTTCAATCGACAAGCTGCGATGTTCCACCCGCTTTAACTTTGGCAAGCCTTCAGAGAATTGGAGCTACGCCCTCCGGCGGTCGTCGCCTACAGCATGCTCCTCGATGATGTGCAGGCCGACATCGGCTTGCCCGAGCTCGACCCCGACATGCACGCCGACCCGGAACGACGTCGGGACATCGCGACCATGACGATCAAGGATGTGTTGGCAAACTGAAAGGGCAAGGCGGTGAAAGCGGTAATCGACAAGGAGATATGGAGTTTCTTCGCTAACTGCACATGGGAGCTTATGGAGCAACCTCGCGGCGTCTACGTCATGAAAAATTGCTGCGTGTTCATGAAGAAGTACAACGACGACGACACGGTCGTCCGCGGAAACGCCCACTTGGTGGCGGAAGGCTTCACGCATGTTTTCAACATCGACTACGACAAGACGTGTGCGCCGATCCGCAGCTACGTCGCGACGAGGATCGTCCTCGGCATCGTTGTTGTCTTCAACATGCACGTCATGCAGCTCGACATTAAGAAGAAGAGGCTAAAATAGTGAACCCCGTCCCAACTTGAAAGAGCGTTGTCAGGCTGGACCAGCCGACCTACTACAACGACGGCATCGGCCATGTGTGCAAGATGCTGAAGGGCTTGTATGGCCTTAAGCAGAGCCACTGTCGCAAGGGTAGTGGCCCTCGGGGCCAGCTATAAACAAGAGTTCATCGGCCAATGCAACACGTGGGGCCCGTGGTGTGCAGGGCTTCGAGCGCGCTTCGAGCCAATCACTACTTCGATCTCAGCACGCCAGAAACTACGCACTTGGCGACAGCTTGGGTCGGTTCAGGACTACACCAATGGTTTTCTTGCGTTGTGCAAACAGGTCGGCTACATGCACGAGGATCGCTATGTCGGCGGCCTCAAGCCGAAAATCTCGCAGAAAATCCTACACCGCGGGATCTCAAACCTCAACGAAATCATGGCGCTCATTGAGAAAATCGACATACTATGCCGTCCGAGGTCGGGGTCCTACCACAACGGATGTTGTACTCGGGGAACGACCAAGCATACCACAAAAGCAGCTGCCGTGCCATTTAAGAGGCGTTGCTTCGCCTGCAACAGGCCGGGCCACCGCAGCGAAGCCAAGGCGCCGAGGAGCGGAGCAGGGGAGGGAGTCTGGAAGGCAGGGAAACGCCAGCAGTCAATAGAGTACGGGCCCACTACCGACGAGACTCATTGCTCGCCCGACTCCACTGACCCTCATCGAGTGACAGTACCGATTCACGTAATCGATTGGGCTCAATTAAGTAAGGAGGGTGCAACGACAGATTGCCCAGTACCGATTCACAGGAAAATACAGTGGGTAGCAATGAAGATTTCTATCAACGGAGGAGCTAGTCATAGTTTAGTTAATACCGCAACTGCAAGGAAGCTGCAACTAACACTTAGTCGTTGTTTACCAGAGATTGACGCACGCTTAGTTGACGGCACGCCATTGGCTATATGGGAGAAATTGGAGAGAGTCAAGGTTCGCTACGGGGGGTTTACACAGGATATGCTCACGACGACACTAGATTGGCATGACATTTTATTAGGTCGTGATTGGCTGTTACGGTGCAACCCGCATATAGACTGGACGACAAGTAGTTGGACTGTATGAAGCGGTGGTAATTCAGTCGCAATACCTCGCTGGCACTTGCCTGAATCTTCGACGGTCCACGTCAACGCCATCACGATGAAACAGGATGCCGCTTCGGGAGATGGCATGTATGTAGTAAATATCACGCAAGAAAGGGAAGCCGATCGATTTTCATACACTGCTGGCAGCCGTACCGCCCGAACCACAGGAATTACTCAAACGATACCCGATGATTTTTTTGGACGATCTACTGGACGGACTGCCACCTCACAGAGCAAACGACCACCACATAGAGTTAGAACCGAGGGCACAGCCAACCGTGCAGCGACAGTTCTGACTGACTCAGCCCGAGCTATACGAACTGGAGAAGCAGTTGAATTATCTACTGGCGAAGAACTTCATTCGACCGAGTTCGTCACCGATACTGTTCACGGCGAAGTTGCATGTGCATCGACTACCACGCACCGAACAGGGCAACAGTTAATTAACAATATCCCATCCTCCACGCCGACGAAGTGATTGACCAACTTCAAACAACTAGAATATTTTCAATAAATGACTTACGCGGCGGTTACATCGGAGTTGTACTGCTACATGATTTCACCAACGGCCTACAACCCATCACTTACGAGTCACAAAAACTACACCCGTTAAAGGAGAATTACTCGATACACGACCGCGAATTGCTCGCGATCGTGCACGCATTCAAAGTATGGGGCTGTTACTTGACCGCTGCAAACGTTACAGTACGGACATTCCACAGATTACTACAGTATCTTCGCGCACAACTTCACCTCAACCCACGACAGATCCGATGGCTCTACTTCCTCGAGTCAAACTTCCACTACACTGTCATCTATAGATAGGGTGCCTCGAACATCGCCAACACACCGACCCACCGACTGCCCAAATTCATGCGATACTTCTTCGCCAAACAAGTTCGCTTCTCACTGGCCTATTCACCCACAGCTACCAGACAGGCCCGTTCTGTCAGATATATATGACTT